CATCATCATCATCATCATCATCAGCAGCATCATCATCATCATCATCATCATCATCATCATCATCATCATCATCATCATCATCATCATCATCCGCATCATCATCATCATCATCATCATCATCATCATCAACAACGGCATCATCATCATCATCAACATCAGCATCGTCATCATCAGCATCATAATCATCGTAATCAGCATGATCAGCAGCAGCATCATCATCAGCAGCAGCATCATGATCATCATCAGCAGCAGCCTCATCATCAGCATCATCATCATCGGCATCATCATCATCATCAGCAGCAGCACCATCATCATACTCATCATCATCATCTTCATCATCATCATCATCATCAGGAGCATCAGTATCATCATCAACATCCTAATCGTCATCATCATCAGCATCAGCATCATCAGCATCATCAGCATCATCATCATCGCCATCCTTATCATCAACAGCAGCAGCATAATTGTCATCGTAAGCATCGTCATAACCGGCATCAAAAACATCAGCAACAACTATCGTCATCGTCATATCCATCATCTCCATCATCATCATCATCATCAGCAGCAGCAGCATCATCACCATCATCATCAGCAGCATCATGATCATCATAGTCATCATCATCGTCGTCATCAGAAGCATCATCATCAGCATCAGCAGCATTATCAGCAGCATCATCATCAGCAGCATCATCATCATCAGCAGCATCATCATCAGCATCATCGTCATCATTATCATCAGCAGCAGCACCATCAACTTCAGAATCGTCATCATAATCAGAATCAGCAGTGTGATTTCTGAAGATTTCCGCAGGATTTGCCCTGGGAATCTAGGATGTTGCAAGTGACTAACATGCGTGTTTGCAGCGCCGGCGCTTGAGCTCGAGCTGATAAAGGCGGCTCCCCTCCCCCACAGCAGCAGCAGCGGGGTAGAAGAGCCATAGAGGTTTCGGCAGAGACGACAGAGTTTGAGCTGGGACGAACCTCGCCGACAACACGATCGAGCGAGGGAGAGCTCCAGTGAGAACGAGGTTGGTAGCGGAGCCTGCGGTTGGCCCCACAGCTCTACAGACGGACATAGAGGATCGAGACTCGCCATCTCGGAAACTACGAACGTGGCGGAGTACAATGGTGCGGTGGACCCGAAGATACCGGTGCTGAAGGGAGAGACGTTGAAGGATTTCACCAGATACGAGAGGGCAGTTCAGGCGGCGGAGCTGAGCTGCGAGAGTAAGGAGTCTGAGCAGGCGCTCGGTCCGAAGCTGTGTAGGAACCTGCTGGGCGCGAACAACTCCGTCAGCGTGCTGATAGAACAGACGAACCCGAAAGACTACGCGACGGAGGACGGCACCCAGATACTACTGCGATTCCTCGAACAGCAGCGCTTCGCCAAGAGCAGTTTCAGGAAGCTGCCGAAGGCGTTCGACGCTTTCTTCGACCAGACGCAGATCGAGAAGAAGGGCGAAGAGCCGATGGCGGCGTTTTGTACGGCGATGGAGGTGGCGAAGCGCAATCTCGAGGAAGTGGACCCAGACACGAAGATCAGTGCGAACGAGCTAGGGTACCACACGCTGAAGAGAAGCGGACTGGACAAGGACGAGCGCAATCTAGTGATATCACGGGCAGATGAGACCTTCAACTTCCAGAAGATTAGCACGACGCTGGAGCCTCTTCCCACGAGGTGGAGGTCGGCACCGGGATCGACAGGGATCGAGAACGAGCTGGCGATGGGCAAACTACAACGACGGCGAGCGCGACCCGGAGGACGAGGACCAGAACGTCGAGCACGACGGGTACTGGGTCCAGGACGACGACGGCTACTGGTACGAGTGGGACGAAGAGCACGGTGTCTACGCGTTCGCGGAGGACGGCGACGACGGCTGGGACAGCAGCGACATGTTCTACATCGAGGACGACACCGACGTCTACCTCGCGAGCGAGGACGACGAGTACCAGCAGGCCCTCGTCACGCTGCGCGAGAGCAGGCTGAAGATGAACAAGATCCGGGCGGCTCGAGGTTTCTTCAAGGGACGAATCGATGGAATAGTGGACGAGAGCGCGGCGGCCGGTGGCAAGGCAGCCGGGAAAGGCGGCAAAGGCGGCAAGGGCAATCACGGTGGCAAAGGCAAGTCCAAGGACAAGAGGTGCACCAACTGCGGAAGAATGGACCACGCTTCAACAGACTGCCCGACGCCACGACCTCCGAGGCCGGCAGGCAAAGGCTTCAAGGGCCGCGGCAAGACCTCGAAGGCTCAGTCCCGTCCACGACGGCTGGGTTTCTGGGCGATGACCACATTGGTGTGCATCATGCCGGACATGTTCCACCAGAAGGACGTCCAGGACCCGGAGCCCGCGACGGAGAAGTTCCAGGAGCCAGCCGAGCACGACATCATGATGGTCAACGTGGGGAGCGACCCGATCCTACCGGAAGTGCCAGAAGTGGACACGATGATCTCGAGCACGATCGTGCCAGCTACCCTGGTGGACAGCGGCGCCTCCGTAGCGGTGGCAGGGCGCGGCTGGCTGGATAAGATCGCGGTGGAGCTCCAGAAGTACGGTCTGAGGACCATCATCGTCGAGGCGAGCCAGAAGTTCAAGGGAATTGGCGGCGCGCGACGTGAAGCGAAGCAGAAGTGGATCATCCCGATCGGTATTGGCAAGAAGCATGTCCTGCAGGAGTATTTCGAGATCCCTGGTGACATGATTGGCTTGAAGAGCAAGAAGAACCTGGCGGACTGGAAGACGAACCTCTACCTGCGCGAGGACGGCCAGTGGGCAGACTTCCAGGAGCTTGGGGTGTACGACGAGGAGCTCGTGAAGCTTCCCGGCGGCCACGCGGGCATCGACATCTTCGACTACGACCTGGAACCGTACGAGGCGGAGCCCCTCTTCGAGGAAGTTCCGCATCAACGTCGAGAAAGTCGAGCTGGAGGTTTTCCTGGTCGCGGAGACGCTGCAGGTGTCCAAGCCAGACTTCATGGTCAAGGCGACGCCGATCGGTGGGTCCAGGATGCAACGAAAAACGGTAACAAGGGGATCTTCAAGAAGGGTACGCTCAAGCGGATCGACAAGCTTATCAAGGAGTATGCGGTTATATTCGACGTGCTGCGCGACAACAACGAGACGTTTCTCTGGGAGTTGTTCGCGAAGGAGGCTCGCTTTACTCATGTAGCTTCGAAGGGTGGTCACGCGAATGCGACCCCCTCGGACCTGTCAGTTGACGTGAACTTTAACAACCCTCGGACACGATCAGATTTCCTATTTTTGATTCGATTCGGACCTTCAAGCCCTGGATGGTTTCGGTCACATTCCCGTGTACCGCCCATACGAATATGCAAGAGTTACAACGTGCTCAGGGCATGGGCGACAGGGTGGACGACCTCATCCAGGAGCTTCGGCCGCTGATCGATTTTTCGGCGGAGGTGCTCAAGATTCAGGCTGAAGGAGGACGGATCGGCATCGGCGAGAATCCCCTCACCAGCCGGGCGCGGCGGGAAGTTCCGATCGTGGACCTGCTGAGCTGGCACGGGAACAAGCCACCACTCTACGAGACGGTCACGCTGCACCAGTGCATGGACGGGCTCGTGGACAAGTACGGCGACCCGATTCGCAAGCCGACGTGCATGATGGTGCCCAACGGTTCGTGCTTCCCTGGGTGGCTCGAGCGCAGGTGCGACGGGAGCCACCAGCACGCCGACATGGTCGGGCGGAGCACAGCACTGGCACAAGCGGGCGCCTGGCCGGACGACCTGGGCAAGGCTCTGGTGGGCGCCGGCACGCACGAGCTGGCACGACCGACAAGCCCGAAGGAGATGGGCATCGGGAACGGCACGGCGAGGTCCCCGAGCAAGCAGATCGTGAACGCAGTGGCCAAGGCGTTCAAGCTAGGGAAAGACCTGATCGACGTGGGCGTGTTGACGGGTGACGAGGAGGTTCCGCCCCCTCGCAGGGCAGTGCGGCGCATCTGCGCGATGTACTCCAGCGAGGGCGTACTGGCGGACTGCAGCGACGCCTACGCGGGCGACCCGGGCTTCGGGACGATCAAGCTGGTCAAGCGGTTCCCCACCGACACGGTGATCGCAGTCTACGTGAAGGAGCCGAAGGTAAAGACGTCCTTCCCTGCGACGGTGCACATCTACGGGAGCAAGCCCAAAACCTTTGCTCCAGATGATCGTGAAGCTGACACGGCACATCGAGACCTACAACATGAGGGTGAGAGTTTCGGGATAAGCCTTCGGACATCACCACGGCCCAGTGGGGCGCTCTCAAGAAGCTCCACCTCAAACTGAGCCGTCCTTCTGCTCACGCACTGAAGCGGCGACTGAAGTCCTACGGAGCGTCACAGCACGTGCTGGATGCGGTTGACAAGCTGGACTGCGGCGTGTGCAAGGAGCTCGGCAGGCCGACTACGGTGAGAAGCTCGAACCTGAAGCTCTCGACGGAATTCAACGAGAACGTGTTCCTAGACGAAGCCGGGGTGATACTAGCAGACGGGACCCGACTGATGGTCATGGTGATCTTGGACGACGCGTCGGGCTTCCGGGTAATCATCCCTACCACTGCAGTGAGGTCCATCACCAGCGAGGAGAGCCTGCGATGTTTTTCGCAAGGCTGGCTATCGTGGGCTGGACCACCCAAGGTGCTGTACTACGACGCGGCCAAGGGTCACATCACGAAGCGGTTCGCAGAGATCGGAGAGAAGTACACTATCCTGATGAGGCCGGTCCCAGCAGAGGCGCCCCAGCTCAAGGGTCGAGTGGAGCGCGCGATCGACTTCTTCAAGGACCATTTCCAGCGCCTGAACCGCGACGTGCAGCTCACCAAGGACGACGATCCGCATGTGTGGAGATCGGTAATAGCGAGTACGTGCAACAACCATATTCGGCGGAATGGCTTCACCCCTTACCAATACGTGCTGGGCCGGTCGCCTGGCATCCCGACCTCGCTGATCGAGGCGATGGAGGGCGATCAGAGGCAGCTGGCATCACAGAGCGCGGCTCTCTTCGAGGAGGGCCCGAGGAGAGCAGAGCAGATACGTGCGGCGGCGAACCGGGCGTTCTTCGAGCTGGACAGCGACGACGCTGTCAGGAGGGCCATGGTTGGCCGAGTTCGCCCGCCGCGTGGACCGTTCGTGCCGGGCCAGCTGGTGTTCTACTGGCGCGAGGTGAAGCACGTGAAGTCGAAGAGGCTCCAGGGCGAGCACGGTTGGCGTGGGCCAGCGATCGCGTTGGCGACCGAAGGCCACACGAGGCTACCCCTCAGCTACCGCGGGGTGCCGGTGCTCGTGACGCTGGAGCAGGTGCGACACGCCTCCCGGAGCGAGGCGGAGATGGTGGAGAACGGGGACTTGGTCAGGCAGCTCTCTCACTGGCGTGGAGGACCTACTCTCCAGACGGGATTCACTGATGAGCGTGGACCTGGGCCAGACGGGAGCGACAAGACGGGCGTGCGCCGCGAGAGGGACGAGAAGGACTCGGACCACGAGGACGGTGTGATCGACACGCCTACGGCTAAGGCACCGCGTGCCGAGCCGGCTCCACCACCGCCACGGCCAGTGGTCGAGGCGACACCGAAGAAGGAGCGCGAGGATGAGGACGTACCTGTACCTGGAGACCTACTTGAAGTACCACCACTACCGGGAGGAGGACTGGTTCCTCCAGAACAAGCTACAGACCCACCTGCTGCGGCAGCTGGGCAGGGGCACGCCATGGACCTGGACGTGGCGGCTGCGCCAGGTATTCCGCATCAACAGCAACAGCAACCAGATCGAGCTGAACAACCAGAACCTGCACCACGACTCAGCTACAAGCGAATGCTTCCCGACGACCAGGAGGCAGATCGCGAACGCCTACGACTACGACAAGAGGCTCTCAAGGGCAGCTCCATGCGCCTTCCGAAGGTACCAGACGACCCGATGGATCAGGAAGCACTCCTCGTCAAGGTCAGGAACCGCCAGAGGGACGCGTTTCTGTCCCGGAGGTCCGACACGACAAAGAAGCAGGTCACTCCCAAGAAGGGTCGGGAGATCCGCAGCATCCCACAGGAGTGGAAGGCGGCTTTCGACGCGAGCGACCTGGAGGAGTGGCGCAAGTGGGTCGAGTACGACGCAGTGGACTGGCCGACCGAGGAGGAGCTCGCGGGGGTGGACAAAGCGGCGATCCTGCCCATGAGGCGCGTTCGCACGAATAAGAACGAGGCGACGATGGGGCAACCTGTCGTACGAGCAGCACCCGCTCAAGGCGAAGTCCCGGAACATCGTTCCAGGATACAAGGACAAGCAGCTGCTCGCTGGCGAGTTGCAGACCAACGCCCCCACTCTGACGGACACGGCCACGGCGGTGATCCTGCAGGAGGCCGCTAGCCAGTCGGGTTGGAGGCTGGAACAGGGCGACGTCGACTCGGCATTTCTGAACGGGAAGTACCTCGACAGCTCTCGACGCGTGTACTTCCGCGCGCCGAAGGGCGGCCTGCCGGCTGTACCGGAGATGGGCTGGCCAGCCGTTCCAGGAGCGAAGAAGGGGATCTACGGGCTGAATGATGCACCTCTGTTGTGGTACGAGGAGCATCGCGACACCATACTCTCTCTCCCAGGAGCGTCGAGATCGAAGTTGCGCCGGGCTCTCTTCATCTTCCACGACGACCATGAGAAGCTGATCGGCCTGATCGGGACGCACGTGGACGACGATCGGGCAGCGGGCTCGCCCGAGTTCTTCGCTGACCAGGTGACCAAGCTGAGGAAGATGCACTGCTACGGCAAGTGGCAGACGGCGAAGACCGGTTTCCACCACTGCGGGAGATTCCTCAAGCAGAGAGACGATGGCACCATCACCTGCAGCCAGAGGGAGTACACCGAGAGCATCGAGAATATTCCGATCTCAAACGAGCGTCGCAAGGACAAGGAAGCGAAGGCTACAGAGAAGAGGGCGATGCTCCACAGAGGCAACGGCCAGATTCAGTGGCTGGTGCGATCTACCCGTATGGACTTGGCATTTCGACTGGTGGAGTGTCAAGCGAGGGCTCACGACAGCAACCTGAAGGTTCAGGACTTGCTGGACTTCAACAAGCTGGTGAGAGACGCCAAGACAGACCATGTGGACAGAAGATCAACATAGACGACGCGATCGTGGTGTGGAAACTCGAGCCACGGCAACGTGGGCAAGACGAAGACCGCGAGTCAGGCGGGCCTGGTCATCCTGCTCGCAGACAACAAGGACGATCAATTCCTTCGCGGGAGGCCGGCCAAGGTCACTCCCATGTTGTGGCGGTCGCACCGTATCAAGCGGGTGGTGCGCAGTACCCTGGCGGCCGAGACGATGGCGGCGCTGGAGGCGGTCGAGAGTGGCGACATGCTGAGGCAGCACCTGGTGGAGCTGCACTACGGACTAGGTTACCGGACCCACATGGACGACATGAAGGCAATCAAGATGGTGGAAGTCACGGACTGTAAGTCGCTCTACGACCTGCTCCAGAAGCGAGGACGGTGCCCTCCGAGAAACGGCTGCTGATCAATATCGAGTCGCTCAGGAACGATCTGGAGTTCAACAACGTGGTGAGCAAGTGGGTGAGCACGAAGCAGATGCTCGCCGACTGCCTAACCAAACACGACGTCCGCGCTGGCGACTACATAAGGTATGTGCTCCAGACCGGTGAGTACCGGCTGACGGAGGATCTCATGGCGGACCAGATCATCGCCAAGCAGAGGATGGAGCTCAAAGGACGCAGAGGCAAATACTACCGCTCGAAGTATCCCAAGAGGCAGCGACCTGCTGACCAGCTCTTCGTTCACGAGGGCTACACCTACTTCGAGGACTGCATTGCGGATGTGAGGTACAATCCGCGTGTGGCTCAGCCTGCTCCGAAGCCCTACCTCCGTTGACGGATGATGCTTGGACAGCGCGAGGACGATATCTACTGCGAGAAGCTCGAGGACATGGTTGACTGGTCTGGGATAGACCAGGTGACGAAGCGTCGGAGGATCCCGACCCAGGTGCGGAAGCTGCTGACGATCTACGCACCGACCAAGGCGGCCCTCGAGCGCTACGAGAAGGACTTCACGGAGAAGCACACCATCAAGAAGCCGAAGGTGACGAACGATGAGGACCCCAAGAAGGAGCTAGGTGCCACTGAGGAGCTTGGTGCGCACGTCGAGTCGGACGAGAACGTGAAGGAGGATAACACCGACGTCGCTCAGATCTACATGGTGGACGCTGCAGGTGCCGAGTCTGAGGAGAGTAAGTCGGGCGCCGCTGCAGCTGCGACGGTGACGGTGTGTGCGTTGTGTCGGATGACGTTGGACCAGTGCGAGCGCGGACCGAGGACACGCAAGAAGCCACATCGGGCATCTGCCTCTGCGCGTTCCGACGACCTACCTGCTGTACCTGATGACGAAGACGATGATGACGAGGAAGCAGGGACCTGGCAGAAGGTACCGCACCGACGCAAGGAATCTACGACACCGACGAAGAAGATTCTGAAGGCTCGCGCGCTACACGAGAGAACCGGACACTCATCGTACAAGAAGACCGCGGACGAGTTCGGCGACGTGATAGTGGAAGGTGTTCTCGAGGCGTATGAGCTGGTGGTCAAGAACTGCGACGAGTGTCGTCGAGGAAAGAAGACCTACGCCTCCGTGCAGCGTGGAGCCAAGGGCAGTGAGTTCGAGACGCACGAGTCCACGAGCAAGGCCAAGGGCAAGCTCAAGGGGAAGCAGATGGCCCGAGATCGCATAGGGGACTGCGAGCACAATGTGACGACCACACAGGGAAGCAACCAGTACAAGGACAAGCTCCGGTGCCTGCAGTGTGGCATGCTGCTGGTGGACACGGACACGACGTGGTGGAAGCGAGAGAAGGAGTATCGTGAGATCGAGAAGACCTTGCGTACCAGCAAGGAGAAGGAGATCAAAGCCGAGATGAAGGCCATCCGCCTCCGTGATATGTACGAGAGGATGGAGGCCAGTGAGTCGAGCAAGTGAGCAGGCTCGACGGATGCGTGAGGGACCACTACGCCGTGTGCGACTACAACGCCATTTTGGCGATCAGCACGGGTGTTGCGCGGTTTGCAGCGACGCCTGTCCTTTTGCTGTTGAACTGGGTGCTGCGCCCAGCGCACGCCTGCTGCGTGTCACGCTTAGTTAGAGAAAATGATATGAGTGTGATTTCTGAAGATTTAAGGAGGACTTGCCCTGGGAATCTAGGATGTTGCAAGTGACTAACGTGCGTGTATGCAGCGACGGCGCTTCGGCTCAAGCTGATAAAGGCGGCCCCCCTCCCCCACAGCAGCAGCAGCGGGGTAGAGGAGCCATAGAGGTTTCGGCAGAGACGACAGAGTTTGAGCTGGGACGAACCTCGCCGACGACACGATCGAGCGAGGGAGAGAGCTCCAGCGAGAACGAGGAGCATCATCAGCAGCAACAGCGAAAGCAGCATCATCATCATCATCATCATCATCATCATCATCATCATCATCATCATCATCATCATCATCAACATCATGAGCCGACCCAGCATAATTGTCAGCATCGTCATAAGCAGCATCAACAACATTAGCAACAACCATCGTCATTGTCATCACTATCATTAGCATCAGCATCATCATCATCATGATCACTGTCATCATCATCATCATCATCATCATCATCATCATCATCATCATCATCATCATCATCATCATCGTCATCATCGCCATCATCACCATCAGAATCATCAGCATCAGAACTACAGTCATCGTCATCTTCATAATCGAAAGCAGCAGCAGCATCATCAGCATTATTACCAGCATCACCATCATTAACATCATCACCATCATCATGCACAAGAGCATCAACAGCATTATGATCATCGTCATCAGCATCATCATCCACACCACAAGAATCATCATCATCATCATCATCATCATCATCATCATCATCATCATCATCATCACCATCACCATCACCATCACCATCATCATCATCATCATCATCATCATGAGCATCATCATCGTCGTCGTCGTCGTTGTCGACGTCGTCGTCGTCGTCAATCGTCATCGACATCGTCATCGTCATCAGCGTTGTAGGTGGGGTCCTCCTAAGACTGCCTTGCAGCCTGATGGGGCCGCTTTGGGCCCTCTGAAGTTGTTCCAGCCGTCTTCGAGCCTTTTTGCAGCGTCTCCAGACGCTCTGGGTCCGTCGTGTGCCGTCTTAGGCTCCTCGGGCGGCCACAATGCGGTTGTCCTGGGCCGTCTTGGGACCCTCTTGGAGCCCTCTGCGGGGATTACTTGGAAGGTGTTGGGGGCTGGGCTTATGTTGTTCCCATCGTAATCAAGGATCACATTCCAGCAATAATCTCGAGCAACCGGAAAAGTATCGAAAGAGTGCTGACGGACGAGTGTCTCCCAGGGCCCGACACTTGAAAACCCTCGAGTTTCAGTACTTTTTTGGTGCTCGAAATTATTTCTGGTGATCAAGGCTAAAGTAGGTTGGAACATCATAAGGCTGGGTGCTTTTAGGGAGCCTCTGATCGGTCTATTGGGGTCTTCTGGGATCGTCGAGTCCTTGTGTTGGGCCTCAGGGCCGTCTGAATGGGCGGCTATAGGGGGTATCATGCATGCCGCAGAGCACCAGCAGCGAGGCTACGAGCCCCGTGACCCCACAGCTAGCCAAGGGATGAACAGAGCGAAAGGAGGAAAGAGGATGGAGGGAAGGAGAGAAGGGTTGAGGAAGCCATGGAGGGATGGGGGATGGAGGTAATTGGGGAACGGATGGGGGAGGATGGAATGGAATGGAATGGGACGGGGGAAAGGAAAGGGAAAAGGAGGGGAGGGAAGGGGAGGGGAGGGGAAGCGAGGAAGGTTGGAAACGATGGGGGAACAAGAGACAAGGGGAGAGAAGAAGTAGGTGCTGCAAGGGGCGTACAAGAGCGCCGAGAAGACTACGGTCTGGGGCAAAACTGGCGGCATTGCCCGTGCACGGGGCGGCCGCCAGAAGAAACAAGTCGGCGCCGTGGTAGAGCACTTTATACTGGAAATTGACCGCAGCGCTGTTCGCTTGCGAGTCTGCCCGTGCTCCGGGCAGCGAACGGAAGAGGAAGTGGATGAGGAGGAGGGATGCGCAGCAGAGGTGATTAAAGAGGGAGGCGGACGAGGAGGAACGCGGAGGTGGGGCGGACGTCGTTGTCATCGTCATCCCCCCCCCGCGCGGGGACAGACGCTTGGATGGGTTTCTCTTGGGCCTTCGGGGGGCATTCTGGGGGCTGCCGCCTCGCCCATGGTCGGGGCGGCCCCGCCCGTGCTCTCAGCGCCCGCTTGGGAGTTTGGGGCGATCTGCCCCTCACACGGCGATTGTTGTACGGGCGCCAGACAGATCCAATCCAGCATATGAACATGTGTCGCGCCAGCTCGCCGTGCCGCGCTGCGCCCGAGTGCCGAGCCGCCCCAGCGTTGGGGGAACGGTTTGTTTGCTCACCAAAAAAAGGATCGGCGGTCGACAAACCTCGCTTCAGTAGACCTCCCCTTAGAGAAAACGGCCCGGGAACGAAACCGACGGACCTGGACCCGGAAAAATGACGACTGCGACGCCCTCTCGCGAGCCGAAAACGGCAAATTCCTGAATCGACGTGTCAGGGTAGGAGATCTATCCACCTCCGACACTAGGAGGTCCGCGCGGCTTTCTTGGATCCGCGCCCTCCCTGGCGCGCGGAGCGCGCCAGGGGCGGCACCTGAGGCGCCGCCAGGGCGGTCCAGCGCCGATCCGAGAAATCCGCGCGGACCTTCGAGTACTTATGTTTATGTCAGTGTTCGTTCCCCTGCACGTCCTCACATGCGGGATATCTCAAAACCATGGGTGCCCTCCCGCGCGCCGTGCTGCGGCTTCCCCTGCGCGCGCCGCACCCGAGCCATGCGAGTGCAAAAAACTTACGCCGCCCCGGCGCGACCCCGCGAGCGCACCACGCCGAAATCTCCAGCTGTGACACTGCGCCGCCCAAGCGAAGCGTCGCGCCAAAGGTCCCTCGTGCCAAAGGGATCGGGCGTTTCGGGTCGCGCACTGGGAAAAATTGACCTCGGCGGCGAGCGAGGGGGGGAGCAAAAGGAGGAGGTCACAATGCGAGCACGTTGGCAGCCAGGGTGCCGCGCCGTTGCGCGCTGCAGGTCCGAAAAGGCGAACGGGCGCGCCACCCGCGCATGCCGTGCCGCGCCGTGCCGAGCCGAAGATCAACAGTGCGGGAAATGCATTGCCGGCGCGGTGCAGGGGAACGACAGAGCGGCACTCGGGCGGCGCATTCTTCAGCGCTGGAAAACTTTAGCTCGGCACGGCCCGCGGGCAACACACATTTCCCACGACGCGGCACGGCACGGCGCGCGGGCTGCGCAAGCTTCGCTCTGGCACATATTTCGCAGTCTACCCCTTCAGCGCGGCACGGCCGCGGGCGGCATATTTGTTCGCATTCTAATCCTGCGGTGCCGCACGGCGCGCGAACAACGCATGGTCGCATTCGGGAAAGTCGGCAGGGCGCGCTCACCACACCGCGCGAGGGCGCCGCAAGTTTCGCACCCCAGAACTAGGGCGCAGCACGCGTTTGGCACGTCGGCCAGGTGCGGCTTGCAAGCGGCCCATCTCTTGCAGCGTAGATTGTCAGCGCGCCGCATCGCTGCGCAATGGCGGCCCACTTTTCCCACGCAAGAACTTCAGTTCGGCGGCCCGCGGCGCGCGTTGGCGGCACGCGCGTTGGCGGCGCAGTTTCGCATTCTGGAACTTCGGCTCGCCGCGACGCGTAGCGGCATTTGGGCGGCGCATTGTTCTGTTCCCGAGAATTTCAGCTTGGCACGGCCCGCGGGCAACACACGTTTCCTTTTCTAGCACGTCAGAACGACGCGACGCGGCACGGCGCGCGGGCTGCACAAGCATCGCTTTGGCACATATTTCGCAATCTACATCTTCAGCGCAGCGCGACCCGCGGACGGCACATTTGTTCGCGCCCTAGTCCTTCGGCGCCGCACGGCGCGCGGCCAACGCACAGTCGCTCTCGGGAATGTCGGCAGGGCGCGCTCACCACACCGCGCGAGGGCGCCGCAAGTTTCGCACTCCAGAACTCGGGCGCAGCACGCGTTTGGCATGGGCAGGGCATTGCTGGCACGCGGGCGGTCCGTCTCTCGCATTCCAGAACTTCGGCACGGAGCCACGCCGAACCGCACGCGGGCGGACTTCTTTCAGCATTTTCGAATTTCTGCTCGGCACGGAACGCGGGCTACACCGTTTCCGCTGTCTAGAGCGTCGGCGCAACCCGTAGACGACGCGGCACGCCCGAAACGCATGTCTCATACTGGGAGCCGGCGGTAAACCGTCAACCTTGGTTTTTGCGCATTGCGAGTCGCGCTGGCAGGGTCGGGTCACCGCCCAGGCGACAACGGCACACATCTGGGGCGAGAAACCCGACAAAAGCAGGCTCTCGACCACTCCCTGAAGGAGTTATCGGGCGAATCACAAATACAACTGCACAGCTGTACACACAGGCCTACAAGAAGAAAGACAGGCAGGAGATCAGCATGTAGTACAGAAAGATGCAACTGCAGCACAGACATGCCCAGATAGGATCGAAACGTTATCGACCAGAACACTAGAGCTTTCAGCAAGGGGGGAGGGAGGGACAGGGGGGAGGACGGAAAGGGGGGAACAGGTGAAGGTATAAGATGTACATCAATAGAAGAGCTAGATACCGTCAGTGGACACCGTCTCACAACATCCCCAGGACAAGATAGCAGAACACAGCATGATAAGTCTCTCTTGCAGAACTAACGCCAGCCTTCCGTAGCCCCCGACACTTCCAGATCGTGCAACTCCCAGAGCTATCGACGAAGATTGTTCGCCTGTTGTATTTGGAGATACGACGATCGTGGCCATCGAATGACGCAGTCGAGACCATGGAGGCACTGTCCCAGGGCATCTTGGTCCCACACCTGCTGCCAGAACTCCCAGACCCAAAGCGCATCGTCCTCGTCTTCTTCCAAGCTTGCGATGTACTCGCGAAAGAAATTGGGCAATCTAAATTTGAATCGACATTTCTTGCTACGCATACGTGAGGCAAGCTTGTTGGTTACTGAAGAACTCGAGTCATCCACAGGACCACTATGAACATTATCCTCCTCCTCGTCATTCACAGCCCGCACAAGCGAAGCATCTTGAAAATTCTCCTCCTCCTCATCCTTCACATCCATAAGGTCCCCCTGCCAATGCTTACCATGGCAAGCCGACTCTCCGTCAGAAGATGATGCGTGGCAAACTTCAGAGCTTGAAACCAAAGAATCTTTATGATGAGAATAGTGCGACTGCTCATTCAGCAACTCCTCATGCTGCATCTCGTCATCCTTCTGCCCCACAGCGACAGTCTCAGATTCGTGACATCAATTTCCTCAAACGTCCTGGCAGCAACCATACGTTGGCAATGTGTTCACGAGCAGCCCACCTCTTCTTCTGGGACCTTTGAGACGCCTGACCAGCTGCGCCCTCTGAATCTTTAGGGTTTGAAACCTGCGTGTCTGAAACTTCCTGAGAAGTCACACTGGAAGCGGATACACCAAGAACCGGCACTCCCGAAACTCCCGCAGCACTCGTATCATCCGCGTGCTTCTTCTGCTTCCTCTGCCGCTGCCTCCACCCACCACTCCTCTATCCTCCGCCTACGCCCTCGCTCTCCGCCTGCTTCTCGAATCTTACCTCAACGCAGCTTTCGGGGGCACAGTCACATCGAAACACTCTGGAGGCATTGCACTTGACGAACTCGCCCCATGATCTCCAGCAGGAACCTCCGAAGCAACGTGCGATGCCTCCGTCGAACTTCCCACGTCAGCGTTACTGCCACGATGAATTGGATGCACAGTTTCCTCGTCCTCATTCAGAACACCGGGGTCAATAGAGACAGAAACCAGTCTCGACTGCAGCACACAATCAGGAGACTGCACCACATCTGGAGCTGCACCACATCAGGAGACTCCTCCACGTCCTTCCACACCTTAAGATATTCCTATCAAACCTTCCCAAAACAAGCCGACAGAGCGTCAGGAAATGAGCGTGGCAAACTTCAGAGCTTGAACCCAAAGAAGCAATACGTTGAGAATAATGCAACTGCTCGTTCAGCACCTCCTCACTCTGCAAATCCTCATCCTGCAACTCCTCATCCTGCTACTCCTCATTATTGAACACCAGGATCAAAAGAAACAGAGCCCAGTCGACTGCAGCACACCATCTGGAAACTGCACCACATCTGGAAAATAAGCAACAGATTAAGACGAGAAAGCTTCTCCATGATCAGTTGGCCCATCGGGTTTAGCGACTCCGTCGAATGATTCCGTCACCACACCCAGAGCCTCTAGCAAACGGATATCTGGAGACTGCACCACGACTGGAGACTGCACCACCTCTAGAGAATGCATGACCACTGGAACGCACTGCAGAGTATGGATGTCAAAGAGGGCTTGTCAAAACATGGCGAGTTTCAGCCTCCTCGCTCTCCGCCGCCACGACAAGGATGGGAAAGAGGAAACAGGATAGGATATGGCGCACAAAGTAAAAGACGACGAGGTACAAAATCGCGCTGTCATGGCACCACAAAGCAAGGGATATTCCAATTCTGGCACCGGCGGTGAACCGTCAACCTAGTCACCGCCGGGAACCTCGTAGAGCTCCTTCCACGCGCGAGAGTGCTCAGAGTCGAAGGAGAGAGCTTCTGGAGGCATTTCTCAAAAAAATGAAGATTTATTTGTTTCATGTCGACATAAAGTTGGTTCCGCCAAGTGTTTTGATAGTAAAAGTGCGCCTACAGAGCTCATATTAAAACGCAGAGGCCCTCACAGTCGTCTACAGGTGCGAAAAATCTGGTCTCAAAATGAATGGTTAAATAACTTTCAAATCTTAGCAAATCCGACCCAAAATTGTCATATTGTCCTTTCTGGCCGGGTCGATCAACTAGCTCCACCCCGCGCCCGAATTCCTCTAGTTCATCGACTGGGAGCCGGCGGTAAACCGTCATTCCAGGTTACCGCCGGGAGCCTCGTAGAGATCTTTCCTCGCACGGCGCTGCTCGTTACACGTAGGGGGATCTTCCTCACATGTGAGCTGAAAACTCGGAAAATACTTTTTTTTAGTTTTTTCCAAAGACGGTTCCTTCAAGTGTTCTGATGGTAATACTGCAGCTACAGACCTGAGAATTTCACTCGCAGACGCAGCATCATCCACTACAGGTGCGAAAAATAAGGGCTCTCTTAACGAATGTTCAAATCTCTCAGAAAGTTCGCCCAAACGACCCAAAGTTCACACATTGTCCGCCCGGGCCGGGTGGTTCAACTGGGCACCGGCGGTAAACCGTCAACGTTTCTTACCGCCGGGGAACTCGTAGAGCTTCCTGACCATATATAATGTCGAAAAAAATTGCAGATAACGAATAGTTGTTCAGCCCAAACGACTTGAGACCTCTCCATGCAATAGCCGAACGCCCCTGATCTTTCTGGATCGTTTCTGTGCGCACGAGCTCTGTAGCTCGCCTACAGCCAAGCAACGTGCGAAAATCGACAGCACCTCTCAAGATGATTCGAACAATACGAATAGTTCCGCGAACCTAGCTCGAGTATCAGACCGAGTTCAGATCTCAATGTGGCAGGCGAACGCGCCTGATGCCCCCGAACCGATTCCTGTGATTACCAGCCCTGTAGCCCCCCCTACAGCCCGAATTAAATGCAGAAAACCGGCAGCACCTCTCAAGATGATTCGAACAATACGAATAGTTTCGCGGACCTATCTCGGGCAGCAGACCGAGTTCGGAGCTCTGGATTTGACAGGCGGACGCGCCTGATGTCTCTAAATCAGTTCCTGTGATCATCAGCCCTGTAGCCCCCCTACAGCCCAACTTAAGTACAGAAAACTGACAGCACCTCTCGAGATGACTCAAACAATGCGAATAATTTCGCAAGTCTAGCTCGGGCAGCAGACAGATTTCAGACCTCTGGATTCAACAGACAAACGCGACTGATGATTATAAATCGGTTTCTGTAAGCATCAGCTCTGTAGCTGTCCTATAGCTCGATTTAATTGCAAAAAACCGACAACGCCTGTCGAGATGACTCGAAACGACCGATCCCGCCTGGACGCTTTTTGGCAGTAAAAAATTACCCGATCGAACTGAGATCAAGAGGGCGAGCGGGAATAAGATCGAATATCAGGGGAAAAAATACTACAGCTCTAACGAATGGTTGAATTTCGAGAACCAAATTTTCAACCGACCAAAAGTCACCAAAAGGTCCGTCGAGATTTTTCTTGCCAACTAGCCCTCCAGCGCGCCGGAACTGGCGCCGGCGGTGAACCGTCAACCTGGTATTTTGCGGTCTTTTGCGGACGGTCGATTCGAGCCTCCACGGAGGCAGACCGAAGCACAAAGCAACTCAGAACTGAGCCTGAGAGCAAAACGCTGAGCGCACTAACAGCGAAGCTGTACAGCAAAGCCCAAGAGCGCAAACCCCACTAAAGTAAACACAAAAAAGATGGTGAAAGAAGCTGTACAAGACAGCAAGAAGCAGTGAGAGACCATACAGTAACCACTGGTTTATACAGCGATTACCGTCTCAACACCACTGAGAAAAACACGAAACTAAGAGAACTGAAATAGCGAGCGCGCTTTGACACCATGCCTATGTGAAACCTGGTCGTGTGAAACCATGTCTAAGTGAAACCTGGTCGTGCGCTTCGACACCATCCTGAAATTTCATACAAAATCAATTGTAAGCAAAGAGAGCGTAACAAATCCGCTTATGAGACCTGCCAGCGGCGAGCGGAAGGAAAGCCAGCGGGAGAGCGGGAGGAGCCCAAAGAGCCAAAGCGAGCCCAGGGGCAGAAACAGCGGGGGAAAGAGAGGGGGGGCAGACCGAAACATACGTGCAGGATCAATCACATGTGCATCATCTGTGCCGTTTCCGATGCTTCTTGCCGCTCCGCGTCAATGCACTCCTGGAAGTAGAACTCTGAGGACCCCCTTGTTGCGAATCATCCCCCTCGGAACTTTCAATTCCCATTTGCAGCCTGTATGCATGAAGAGCCTCAGTCCTACGCTGAAACTCCTGTCTCGGGAGTCGGTGTAGCTCACGCCAAGGGGCACTAACATCGACACCGGCAAGGGCCCAGTGCCTGGCAGCTTGACACTCGTCCTCCGTCACTGCTGAACTCACAACTGCACTAGATAATCTCCCAGTCGTGGAACTCCCAGGGTGTAAAGCCATAGAATCTTTATGATGAGAATAATGCAACTGCTCATTCCGCAACTCCTCATTCTGCAACTCCTCACCCTGCAACTCCTCATCATGCAACTCCTCTTTCAGAACACCTGGATCAACAGAAACAAAGACCACTTCCGAGTTGTTGTTGTTGTTGTTAGTTACTGAACTCCCAGTCGTGGAACTCCCCAGTGCATCAGATGAACTCCAAACTGCGGAACTCCCAACTGCAGAACTCCCAACCACAGAATCTGACCGAATCCTGTGGTCAGCCTCCGTTGAACTCCCAACTGCAACAGCAGAACTCCCAGTCATGGAACTCCCTACTGCATCAGCTGAACTCCAAACCGCGGTACTCCCAACTGCAGAACTTCCAGCTGTTGAACTCCCAACTGAATAAACAACTGCATCAGCGGAACTCCGAACTGTGGAACTTCCTACTGCACTCCGAACTGTGGAACTCCCGACTGCACTGGAACTCCCAACTGCAGAAGCATCACCCTGATCAGCGCGCACTCGATGACACTCCTCCTTCTCCTCCTCACCAACAAAGAGAACACAAAGATCAGTTTGAGTCCCACACGCAATGTAAACACAGGGATCTGTCTGGGTCCCACAATCGGAACACTGCGAACACAAAGAGTTGCCAGCCAATTCAACAGCATCCATATCAGTCTGTGTTCCACAAGTGTCCTCAAGCCACTCCTCTTCCTCAGAATCGTCCGAGCAGAAATTCCGATCATATCTGGGCGCGCAAATGCCCGCGCGAACAAGGCACGACGGATCTGGCCCCCGAGCCGTGGACCTCAAACGATACCTGACACGTTTCGCCCGCAGGCGGCGCAATTTCGATTGAGAAACTTTGACACCATGCCCATACAGCTGGTCTCGCTCACGCAGGCGAGACTCACCTCCGAAGGGCGAACACGGCAATATAGATCACTAACACACACTTCGACCGTAGACAAACGAGCAGACAAACAAGCGAGAAACTCGGAAGTAAACAACGCCGTATCTGTCCAATCTGAAGCAACAAAATCCGCGCCTGACAATTCAGATGAAACGAACTCCATATATAAAACGTGGACTCGCTCAACAAGAAGAAGGCAAATCACAAGCAATAACTAGATGGACAGTTGAGATAACCAAGGAAAATGCTGTTCCAACGATACTCCGACAATCTCAACAATAATGTGCACTCCGACGACAATGGGCGTGGACAGGCCTTCGACAATCAATGAGAATGTACGGTACGCAAGCAAAACAGACACTGAAGCACCGTGTACGGTAAAAAAAAAACCAAACACCAGGCACGGCACAATGCCGCTCGAGGAGGCCTTGAGCCAAACCTCGTAGAGCTCTGCGCACCGGTAAGAGAGCTCAGAATCGAAGTTGAGTGATAAAATGAAGATTTTCCTAAAATCTTTATTTGGGATTTTTCGATGTTCCTGATAGCTTGGTTCCCGGAAGTCAACTCATGATGAGATACATCAGTAGAGCTGAGCTGCTCTGGGAGCAAAGTTCATATGCCAATGCTCGGCGTAAAAATCTGCTCTCTCAAAATGAATTGTCAAATATCTTTCAAATCTTAGCAAAACCGACCCAAAGTTACCACATCTTCTTTTCTGGCCGGGTCGATCAACTGGGCGCCGGCGGTAAACCGTCAACCTTGCTTACCGCCAGGGGACTCGTAGAGCTTCCAGACCATATATTATGTCAAAACAAATAGCAGAGAACGAATCGTGTTTCAGCCCGAACTATTTCAGGCCTCTCGATGCAACAGCCGAACGCTCTGATGATTCTGGATCGTTCTGTGCGCACCAGCTCTGTAGCTCTCCTACAGCCCGAGTTCAATGTCAAGGTGACTTGAAGAATACGAAAAGCCTGGCGGACCTAGCCCGAGTAGTAAGCCCAGTTCAGACCTCTGGAAG